CTACACATCTCCGAAGAAACTTCGAAAACACCCGAAAGGATCCAAAATTTGCCGAAATATTCCAAAAAGATCCTGAAAATATACAGTACAGTTCCTCTTGAAGAAATGCAAAAAATTTCGAAAATTTTGACAAACCCAAAAACGCTCTTGAATACCTCCAAAAAGGTACGAAAAATCATGCATTATTTTTAAATATCTTACAAAACCACCACAGAAATTTCAGAAAATTCAGAAAAAAGTATTCCGAAAAATCCAATGAAAAAGCAAAAAACCTCGGAAAAAATACCGAAAATTCTCAAAAATTATCAAAATACCTTGACAGCTCACGAAAAGTTTTTAGGAATCCCCAAAAAATAACATTCTGAATTACTCATAAATATCCTAAGAAAAGCAAAAGATTTCGAAAAGACATGAAAATTTTCAAAAACTACCGAAACACACAGACAATTCGGAAAAATATCTAAATAAATGTCGCAAATTTCTAAAAAATCTAGAATATTTTTTTAAAAAATCTAGTATTGCTTAGACAAATTTTAAAGTCTTGAAAACCTTCGAAAATTTTCGAAAGGAAAAAATTTGCGAAAAAGTTTTGAAAAATTCTAAATGCATATGTAGATTCCAAGAAAATCGGGGAAAATCCTGAATTATTCTGAAAAATCCATAAAATCCCGAAAAGTCTCAAAAATTATCAAAATACCTTGACAGCTCGGAAAAACCTACAAAAAATACTAAAGCGAAAATATCCGGAAAAAAATGAAAATTCCCGGAAAAATTTCGCAAAGTTTGGAAAAATCTCTAAAGCTTCAAAAAGAGGTTATTTTGCCTTAGTTATTCCGTAGTAGCCCACAAATTAACAAACTGTCTGGAAAATACCCAAAAAATACCGACAATTACCTGAAAAAAGTGCCAGCAAGTTCCGAAGACTCAGAAAAAATGTTCAATAGATGCCGAAAGAGTCGCTTTTATAAGAAATATATAGTTCTGGATTATTTCTAAATTTGCCATAAAACAACGAACAGGCGCGAAAAAGTCGCCATAAGAAATGTAAAGTCACAAAAATTGTTGAAAGTTTCATTGACTGACGAAAATAGCTTGAAGAAAGACTGGAACATATCCAAAAATTTCTTACACATATCACAAAAGTGAGAGAATGGAGAGCAAAGACAAAATCCAAAAAAAAGAAGAGGAAGAAGAACATGTGATGCGAAATAAATAGTAATGTAAAGGTACCTAATCTTCAGGCTTTTAAATTTAAATGTGTATGCGGTACTTTTTAGGTACATTTATTTAATTTTAGTTAAAATTTTTCGGCAAATAGGTATACATAATTCGAAAATTTAAATTTCATCCCTAGTGCGAAAGATACTTTTATGACAGTAGCGGAAGACGCCAGCCTTATTTTCTCTATCCTGCTCGAAAACTTCTTAACTCTCAGTCTCACCACTAAGTAGACGGCGTTTCTCACTCGCTATGTATAGTTTATACTTTCTGTGTATGAGAAAATGTGCATACCCATGCTGCTCTCTGGTACTTATATGTACATAAACATAACTGGAAATTAGAAAACAAAAAAAGTCAGGTTACGCGTTTAAAAAGCGCAAAACTATTTTCATCTCTCCCATTTTAGTTACATATGTACATATGTATCTTATCATACATACATACATATACATATGTATGATCGCAGAGGGCTGCGTATAGTCTTATGTGTACATTCACTACTTTCTATATAGCATATATGTATACCTATACGAAAAAGACTGTAAATATGACACCTTAAAAGTAAAAATTATAATTAGTTATACTTTAGCCTACTTTCCTTTGCTCGCATCGTCAACAATTTTCATTTAAATCTTACATACGCTGCTGTATATAAGCAAATTTTATTTTTATAGACATTTAGTGAAGACTTTTTAGAACTGAATCGTGTGTAGTTTGGAAATATTTAGGTATCAAAGTCATTTTTCGATCACTAATTCCTTAGTTTTTGTACTTTCAACATTCATAACCTCAAAATCATATAAATAAATTAGTAAAAAAAAAA